CTAGTACCTTTTAATAAAGGTATGATTTGAATTAGTATTCCCATTATGTATCCCTTCTTTACCTACTACCCTTGTATCATCTTACTGAGATAAGAAAAGTGTATATTATTATGAGGAGTTATTGTGTCAATCTGGATAGACGAAACCGAGATAAGAAAAGTATATATTGTTATGAGGAGGTATTGTGTCAATCCTTCTTAGCCAGACTGACAAAATGCACATTTTTAATATCTTCAACTGGCTGGATGATATCTTTTATTGGCTGGATGATATCCTCTACTAAATGGATGATATTCTTTATTGGCTGGATAATATTTCTACTGGCTAGATGATATCCTCTACTAATTGGATGATATCCTTTATTGTTTATATGATATTCTTTATTGGTTGGATGATATTTCTACTAGTTGGACAATATCCTATATTGGTTAGATGATATCCTTTATTGACTGAATGTGACAATATATCTACTAGCTAAATGATATCCTCTATTGACTAGATGATATCCTCTATTGACTAGATGATATCCTCTATTGGCTAGATGGTATCCTCTATAGGCTATATGATATCATATAACCTATAGAGGATACCATCTAGCCAATAAAGGATATCATAGACACAATCATAAATGATATTTCCTCCGTTCAATTAATATTGCAACAATGGACTTTTTACACTATTTATCACTCTTGTTTGACCACATAATATGAGTTATATGTTAAGCAAAATATAGTCAAGTGGGATCTTGTTGGATTTGTCTCATATAATACTTTCACAATATCAACTTTTTATAATTTTTACTCTTACACAATTATAGATATTTAGCATATAAAATGTGTTTTGGGATACGTAATTTCCTCCTTGTTGTAATATTAACAGAACGGAGGAAGTATCATATAGCTAATAGAGGAAATCATCCAACCATAATATCATATAGCCAATAGAGGATATCATCCATCCCAATAAAGGATATCATAGTCACAATTATAAACGATATCATATAGCTAATAGAGGATATTATCTAACCATGATATCATATTGACAATAGAGGATATCATCCATCCAATGGAGGATATGTATAACTTGTTTGAAGATATAGGTATAATTTGTTTGATAATATGTATAATAATGGTGGAACCTCCATTTAAGTTTTCGTATTAAGCTCATGGGCATAACATAACTTGCTCATTTCTCAACCAAAATACATGCATATGTTATTAAAATGCTCACAATCCAACATACAATCATATGGGAAAATCAATTTCAACAATTATACGTCACGTAAGAAAGCCCCAATTCGATTTTTGGGCATTTAAAAAAAAACCGAGAATCTCAAGCTTTTTATCACTTCCGCCATGGATGACCTCGTTGCTCTCCTTCGCCGTAACCTCCACCAACTTGTCGGGTGAAAACTTGTTCTTTATCGTAAGAAGATGACGGTGATCTGATACTTTCTTGAGTACTCTCAACTGACAAAAAAACATTGCCGCACCCAATACTTTGTGATATTAACCATAAATTTTTTTGACAGACATCCTGAATGACGCGTGTCACTTCATGGTGTTATTTTATCCTTCCAAAACTCTTCCTCCCCTTTTAGAAATTTTTTATTTATTTATTTTTGGAATATATGTATAATACAACTATAATATATAGTATATTAATATTATTCCTCATGTTAAATATACTGTATTATCTTTATAACAATTGTATTCCTTTTATTTCGTGTTCTATTTACTTAAAATAGCTACATAAGATTTTGAGACCTCTAATTAAGGGAGAATAAACTATAATTTAGAAGTTAATATATGGTGGAGATTATGCCAAAAATACAATATTAACATTTAAATTATCATTATATAGTTATACAATAGTGCGATTCAAGGAAAAAAATAATTATTTATTGTTTTATTTGGAATCTCATGAGATAATAATTGAATTACCTTTCTATTAAATAATTTTGTAATAATTTTACTAACTTATAACATTATTTTCCTTTTAAAAAACTATTAATTATTACTAAAAACAGGTTATGCTTACATTGATAATTTTGGACATATATTCCTATCATTAAAAAAATTTCCCACCATATGATGTTAGCTTCAAGATTTTTTAATTTTAAAATTATTTTACTTAGCTTATTTTTTGGAAGTACATTGTACATTTTTTTTTTATTTTTTTTTATAAACTAACTTAATTTATTAATAAAAAGGCATACATACGACATCTACGTTGTAGAGTTTTATTGGAAATAACATGCATCATAAATGTAATATAATGTAAATGTATTTAAAATATTTTCAACAAAACTAATCAAACATAGTTTTTTTTTCTTCTCAATGTAGTTTTATAATTTTACCATACCTTATTTTTTCATCTTTCTTACATACATTGCATTTATTTATTCTACAGGAGTTGCTTCATTTTTATATTATACCACAATTTAGGCCCCGTTCTCTTCACCTTATTTTTGCTAAACTGAAATTATTATTACTGAAATGAAATTATTTTTGCTGAACTTAAACTATTTTTACTGAATTGAAAGTAATTTTACTGAAATAAAATTATTTTTGTTGAACTGAAATTATTTTTGTTGAACTGAAATTATTTTTATTGAATTGCTATTATATTTCTTCTTGAAAGTTACTGTTTTTTACTGAACTGAAACTAATTTTATTAACTGAAATTTATTTTACTTAACTGAAATTAATTTACTAAACTAAACTTATTTTTACTGAACTGAAATAATTTTTGCTGAATATTATTTTTTAAGATGAAGTGAACAATGCCTTAATTATGGGGAAAAAATTATTACTATAATCTAGGTAAGTATAAGTTGGTTATTAGAGAGAGAAATGATAAAAGATAAGTGAGTCTTTATCAAATAAGGCAATAAGAAAAAAAATATTGCGATTATTACAGAAGTATTGAGTTTTAGACTTATGCCCGATTGCCCGGTTTAATTCACCTTAAAATTAATTTCATTTAAATAAAAAATAGTAACTCTAAAGAAGAAATATAATAGAGAAGCAATAAAAATAGTTTCAGTTGAGCAAAATTAATTTAAGTTTCAGCAAAAATAAGGTGAGGTGAATGGGTGCTTATAATACGAGTACTTAGGGCCTGTTCTCTTTAGATTATTTTCAATTAATTCAATTCAATTCAGCTAAGTTCAATTCTTAATTTCCTTCTCTCATAAAATATTCAATTCAGTTTAGCTTAGCTCAGCTCAGTTCAGTTTAGTCAATTTAAACATGCCCTCACTTACATTTTGTTTAGATAGGAAGAAATGGAAGGAAAAAAAAAAAGAGAAATAAAGAGGGACAAATTCTCTTATTTGGGTAAAAAAATTGGGGGAAGGAGAGGGAGGGTCCTATTTTGGCATTTCTCCCCCTTTCTTTACACTTTGTTTGGATAGGAAGAAATGAAAGGAAAAGAAGAGAAGAGAAGAGAAATGGAGGGGGACAAGATCTCTTGTTTGGGTAAAAAATTGGGGGAAGGAAGGGGAAGGAGAGGGAGAGATCCATTTTCCCTTTCTCTATAATAACCGTAATCTCTCCAAATGAAGCTCACCTCCCCTTCCCTTTCTTTTCCCTTCCCTTCCTCTATTTTCCCTCCCCTTCTTTTCCTTCCTTCTTTGCTATCCAAACAAAGCCTAAATAAACATAATCTCTTAAAAATTGGAGAGATTTGGGGGGAAAATGGAGCTAAACCTCCCCTCCTTTTCTTTTTTCAATTTTCCGTCTCTTTCTTTTCCTTCCTCTTTGCTATCCAAACAAAGCGTTAAAAATTGTTACCTGCGAATATCATCATTCACCGCCCCGCCACTTTACGATTCTCAATTCCGTAAATTTCTTTTCACCTTTTGGCTGTGTAACACCTCCTCTGTCTTTTCTTACAAAATTCAATTCACAGTCTTCAAAAATCTGCAAAAAAATTTCGAATTTATGAGCACGATTTGTCAATTTATGATTGTCAATACAAGAGTAAAAGGTACAACATCAATCCTTTTGATTTACATTATTCAACTTGATTTTGAATTTCAATTAGCTTCAATTTTCTAGGTTTTCAATTTTTATCATTCTGTAAAAGAAATTGCTGCTTTAATTATCTACTTAATTGCCGAATTTTCGATAGTCTATTGTTTAATTTAACTTAAATCCCGAATTAAACTTTAGTATTTAAGATAAATATTTGACAATCAGGTCAATTTTGTTATTAAATTATTTTAGTTTTACTTGGAACTTCAATGTGTCAAAATTTGAGTGAATTGAATTGTTTTGCGTTGCTGTATAATGTGCAATGCAATAAACGCTGGTCCGAAACTCGAACCCGGGGCCGGGTGGATGGTAGGCAGGTGCCCTGCCATCTTATGAACTAAACTATACTGATTGACTGGTTTTTTTTACTCCTTTCATTTGTTTGATTTGGAGTATACTTTTTGGCTACTATGCTGCATATAGTTATTTTCAAGTATAAGTGTATAGATTTTTCTAATAGTAGTACTATATACTAAGTATATATGAGTGATATGAACATATAAGTGATGCATTTATTTATACACCAAAAGTGCTTTAGTTTAGGCATAAAATCTTTTTCAAGGTTTTTTTTGTTCAATGTTAAACTGTACTATTAATTGTCTATTATATAATGAATTTAGACTGATTAATCCTTGTCGCATATCACTTATATAGTCTATTAGTCATGATTGTACGCAATTATAAGAAGTGGACAAAGTCGTCCTTGTGTTGAGATTTTTCAAAAGTGTTAGTAGTTGATTTTCGGTCAGTTTAAGTTGCATTGAGAGTATGAACAAGAAAATTAACACTCGCATTGTGACTTTTATATACAGCAGAATCATTTGTTATATTGATTACAAAACATCTGATTTTTTTTTTCTTCCTTACAGAAAAAAGTTTTTAGTACAAGTAAATAAGAATTGAAGGGCAATTGAAGGGCAGACGTCCTTCAGTCACTGGGCATCAAAGTGAAGTAAGCTCTTTCGCTACACCTAACCGCCTAACATTCTGTCAATATGTAAGCTTATGACTTACTAGAATTATGACATACTTGGCTTTATGTGATGCATTTTCTTGCATTGAGCTTCTCTTGTATCAGAACAGTCAAAAGTTCTTATGGCAAGAAATAATTCTGGAATTTGTGTTGGATATTGTTGTATTGTATACAACTTAAAATTATAAACTTGATATATAATGAATATTGGCTGTTGAGAAATTAGATTTTTTTTTCTTAGTTTTGTGATTTGACCTCTTGACATTATTACTTTTTGTTATGATACTTTCTTTGATGTGCTAGATATTGACATACTGTTAGATCTATGTTAATATTTAGAAATATTGTCATATATCTGAAAAACTTGTCAAAGTTTCACATTATATGTATACTATATTCCTCATATTAGTCTAGTAGGACTATTATTTCAGCCAGTTGTCAAGATCAAAGACTTTTCCACAATTAAGTTGGCATACCAACTATCTGACCGTATAGGATTGAAGCTACATCAATCCCTTCACCGGAGTATGTATCCTGATCCAAGTGATACTTTGTGGAAGTATTTAAAAAAAAAAAAAAAAATTCTGCTTGAGCTGTAGTGAGGTTTCAAAGATAGCAAAGTTGAAGGGAAAAAAAGGCTAGAGAAAATATAAGGGGAGAAAGAAATGGCTGAAGTCATAGTGTCAGATGTTGTTCTAAAATCAGCTCATGAAAAGATCGCCCTGTACTTTGGTGGGAGAAATAAGGTCGAAGAGCTTCAGAAAACAATGATGATGATCCAAGCTCGGGTTCTTGATGCGGAGAGGCGAGGGGAAGGAGAGAGTGGAGCTCTTGTAAAGTTGTGGCTGAAAAGACTGAAAAATGTTCTCTACCAAATGGAGGATTTGTTTGAAGAGGTTGCAATAGCTGATAAAGAGACTGAGCTGATTGCTGCGGGTAAGCTGACTAAACCGCTACACAATTTGTTTTCAAAGTTAAGTCCTTTTAGCCATTTCAGGAATAGCAAAGTTGCTTATGAGGTTAAGGCTGTTATGAAGGAGTTTAAAATCATAACTTCAGAAATGCAAAGCCTTAATCTCGGGGTGTGTTCTGTTGACGAACAACCTTCAGTTAGTTTGTCTAAAAAGGAACGTACCTGTTCTTTCATCATGGAGGAAGAGGTAGTTGGTAGAGATGAAGATAAAAAAGCACTTATAGATATGGTTTTAGACATTGATGATGTTGAGGGAAGATATTCTGTGATCCCAATTGTTGGGATTGGTGGTTTAGGGAAAACAACTCTTGCTCAGCTTGTTTATAATGACAAAAATGTTCAAAAACAATTTGAGCTGAGGGGTTGGGCTTGTGTGTCCGATGTTGTTACTATTGAAGAGTTTGCACGAAAAATTCTTAGCTCGGTCACTGGTAGTGATTGTCAACATTTGAGTATGGAAGAACTTCAGATCCGCCTTCAGAATTCTGTCAATGATAAGAAATACTTGCTTGTATTAGATGATGTATGGGACGAGGATCGTGAGAGGTGGCTTTCTCTGAAGCGCCTTCTGTGTGGTGGTAAACAAGGAAGCAGAATAATTGTAACCTGTAGGTCTAGGGTAGTGGCTCTTAATATGGGCACTGTTGTACCCTATGAATTGAAAGGCCTGTCTGAGGAGAAGTCTTGGGAGTTGTTTAGAAACCTAGTATTCAAGCAAGGACAAGAGCATAGAAATCCAAACTTGACAAGCATAGGCAGAGAGATAGTTAAAAGATGTGCTGATGTTCCACTTGTCATACGGACTATAGCTGGCCTTCTTTATTCTAAAGATGCTGAGATAGAATGGAAGATTTTCAACGATAAGGAGCTGAGGATGATAAAACAGAATGAAGATAGTATTATGTCAACTTTGAAGCTAAGCTATGATCACTTGCCTTCACACTTAAAGCAATGCTTTGCATACTGCTCTGTCTTTCCCAAGGATTATGTGTTGAGGAAACAGCATCTGATTGATCTTTGGATGGCGCAAGGATTCATTATGTCATCATATGGTGGTGAAAGTGCTACGGATGTTGGTGATGTATATCTTATGGATCTTTTGAGAAGATCTTTTTTACTAGAGGATGTTAGAGGTGAGGATGGTGATATAATCAGCTGTAAAATGCATGATTTGATGCATGACTTGGCACAATATGTGGCTGGAGAACACACTGCTGTCCTAGCTGGATCAAAACTACAGATAAATGACAGCATAAGGCATGCAAGCTTTATTGTGGGCTCCTCTTGGGAAGTTCCATCTTCTTTGCTTTCTACCAAGCAAATGCGATCTGTTCTTCTCTTATCACATACTACATTGCTAAATCTCAATGAAATGTTTTCCAAGTTGAGGTGTTTACGTGCATTAGATTTGTTTAAGGCTGATTGTGAATGTCTTCCGAGCTCCATAGGGAAGCTGGTGCACCTAAGGTATCTTAGACTTGGCTGTTCCATTTTATTTCTTTCTGAGGCCATCACAATGCTACAGAACTTGCAGACTTTGGATATTCGGGCATGTAAGTTGCTTAGGGAATTTCCAAATGGCTTCAACAAATTAACCAATCTAAGAAACTTGTATAATTATAAAATTGGATTGAATGATATGCCATCTAGATTTGGGCTGTTAACATCTCTCTGCACATTAGATAAATTTGTAGTGGGCGAAAGTAACGGTCTAGATGCTCTGGCTTGCTTGAACAATCTTTTTGGACGATTGGTGATCCATCAAGTAAAATATCGTAGAGAAGCTGTATCTGAGGCAATGGTGGCCAATTTAAAGGGTAAGAAGCTTGTTGACCTAGTATTAAGATGGTCATCTGTATATGGAGATTCAACTAATCGTGCTGATGAGGATGAAGAGACCTTGGTGCTAGAGTACATGCAACCTCCTCCGACTCTTAAAAGGCTACATGTGATGGATTGGACAGGAGTGACATTTCCAAGGTGGGGGATTGACGAGTCCCCTTGCATACTCCCTAACCTTGTTTCTTTGTGCATTCAATTTTGCCACCGATGCAAATGTCTCCCTCCCATGAGTCAACTGCCTCATCTCAGGTTTCTTGAACTTGCTTACCTTGAAGTATTAGAATATGTAGATTTTGACGACAATGATATCCCTTCTGCTGCAGCATACTTCCCATCCCTAGAACGTCTGGAGTTGCAGAATCTGTGCAAGCTGAAGGGATGGTCAAGATTACAAATGAAGGCTGATGTACATCAACAAAGACATGACTGGAATCAGCAATACTTTTCGACGCAGCGAGTTTTTCCCCGTCTTTCGTGGCTTAGAATATACAGTTGCCCGAAGCTGAGGTCATTGCCTCTGGTGCCAAGACTCGAGTCTTTGGAGGCATATGGCATCCACGGAACTCTGCTAAAGCATCTCTTGTGTGGAGAGGATCCATTAGGAACATTGTCAAAACCTTGTTCTGCAACTCCTTTCACATTAAAGAAGCTGGACATTGAATCTGTTCATGAACTGGATTCATTCACAATAAATATTTGTTCACTGGAGTCATTTTCAATTAAGGGATGCCATGAATTGACCAATTTAGTGGCTGAATCTCCATCATCTCTCAGGCAACTTATAATCAGTGATTGTGGGAGACTGAGAGACATAACTGGTGCATTACAGCGTCTCTCTTCCCTTGAGGATTTGAAGCTTTGGCACTGTGAAAAAGTGGATTTGTGGGATGTCAAGAATGATGATGATGGTGAAGATGAAGCTAGTAGTGGCAGGCCGTTTTCTTTGCAAAGCCTGAAGTGCCTTAGCTCCTTGAGCTTGTATTCAATCTCAAAACTGAAATATCTTCCTAGGAGCCTAAGCTATGTCACAAGTCTTCAAGAAATTTACATTGATGAGCTCTCTGAATTAAGGGGCCTACCAGAATGGTTTGGCAACTTAACCCGGCTCCGGCGGTTGTCAATAAGGAATTGCCATAACTTGGTGGCGCTCCCAGAATCTTTTCGTGAACTTACTGCATTACAAGAGCTTAATATTTGGAAATGTCCAGAACTTGAGAAAAGGTGTGAATGGCCAGATGGCCAAGACCGGTCGCTTATACCATCCACTGGCAAGTACATATCCCTACTTTCATTTTCACCGTTAATAAGCTCTTTTTGCATTAATAGTGCTTAAGATGGGCTGCTGTCTTTTTGTTTGTCAAAAATCATTTATAATTATATAATATGGTTGCAGAAGCTGTCAGTGCTATTTGTTGTTTTATGTTACATGATTTTACTATTTGATTGTCTACTATCCACTTATGGTCTTATGGATTTTTATCAATTTTAATTTTAATTTTAATTTTAATCAAAATTTGCTTAGGTTTTTTTATTCCTCCATTGCTATATGGTTTGTTGATTATAGATTGTTATACTGGGAGCTGGATAATCAATGCCAAGTTGCCAACTGACTCTGATATTCACTTTTTCTTTTCCCTGTTTGTAGTGTCCATATGTCGGTATTGAGACATCGCAGGGGCATTTTAGCTTCCTGGATTAGAAAAACCATATTATCATTCTGGGTTAATTCACACAAAGGTTAAGGTTAGTTGACTTTTGATTCTTAAGTTTGTCATGCATTTCATTTGCTACTTAGATTTGTATCCTGTTATCTGTGATACTGCAAGTCTTTTCTCTCCGCAACCTCAGTTTTTGGTCCAGCCAGACTCTTGCTTGATCCTTGTCATTTGAATTTACCTGATTTTTTGAACTATAAATACACGAGGAACTAGGGAAGCCCAGTAGGCAGCAAGGTATATTGAGTTTACAAGGTTGACTCTGTAAGTGATATGACCCTGTTCAAGTGATTGCTGGGTGTTAAGGGAGCATTCTTTTAGGTATTGATGTTATAGTCAACCACAGCAGCTCTTCATGTTTTCTTTCTGGAATACTACTATGGTCGAGAAAGATTGAAACAACTAAAGAACATTTTTGCTTAAGTTTGTCCAGGTAAGACTATCAACGTAGAATATTCAATATTAGCTGCAAGCCCAACCTATAATCAGGAGAATTCGGTGGATCAGATTGAGCTACTTGAATTGTTGATTTTAAATGGAATCCAACAAGGCAAAGGAAAAAAAATACGCCCTGTTTTTTGTGTTTTTTTATTTTAGATAAGTTTTATTTTCGATTCTAAAACTAATGTGTATACGTAGTATGTTCTCCGAGTGCTTAGTTTGTACAATATTACAATGTGGAGTAATTGTATAGAATAAACAATCCCTGAATACTACCTAATTCTTTCTTGCTGGCCATATCTTTAAATTCCAGAAAAAATTGTTAATATGGCCTATGGGCTCTGATTGTTTCCCCCCTTCTCTTTTATCTAGCTTGTTTGTACTGATTGTCCATTAGGAATGCCAATTCATTTGCCTACACTTTGCTTCACATTAGTGCTGTATTTAGTTGTTTATTTTGATTTTTTTTGTAAGCGGGCTGTCATATAATCTCTATTCTGCTCAAGTTTATTGGTCACCAGACATTAATTTTATTAGAGCAATGTACAGATCTAGTACAATATGCGATGCACCTTGCCTACTAAGTAGCTGGCTTCCTTCCATATAATATGTGGGCATGTGCGCATGACAATGTGTCAAATTTGGGTGGAATACACTTGGTGATAATACTTTATTACTTTTGTCAGAGATGATTTGGTGATTTTCGTTTCTGACAGACATGTAAACTTAGGTGCTATGCATGGAGTACAAGGCAAGAAGAATGTTGGTGAATTGTCCACAGCCACACAGCCAACAACTAACCAATGTTAGGCTAGAGTTTTATATCTGAATCTACAAATGATGACAGCATATCTTAGTGGTAAGTTTGGGGCATTTCATCAATGAGATTCATATTAGGTAGCTAATCACTCCCTTACAATAAGTAATCTCATGTTTCAGGCTTAAATAACAGCACTTCATGGCCTGTAATAGCAGAGCAAAAACAGAATAATGAAGTGGGAGATTTATTTGCGCAGCATCCAATTGTTACAGTTTACATGACAGTTCAGGTCAGCTTTTACACACCAATCTGCTTCATGCTGCTTAGAACCCTCCAAGTGTTGTTCCAGTTTCCAGATGTGTTCATAGCTTTAAAGTTTATAACTATGATGCTGTGGCAGCTATATATCCTACAAGGCTCCAAGTTTTAGCATAATAGCATTCACTCATTTATTCACTTTGAATATAATTCTTCGTATGAATCTTTAGTATGGATGTCTCATATGTGTTCATGGGCCATCTTGTATTTTGTTCAAAGAAATATATTCTAAACTACTGGATTTTATTTTCAATGGAAAATTAGAATTCAAGTTTCAAAATTCATTTTCTTTTAAGAAAGAAAAGGAAAATAGGAAATAAAGGGGAAGCTGATAGCTATGGAAGGATGAAGAAGCTGAGGGGGTGAAGGATAGGGAAGAAAAGGCGGTATTCTTTTATACGGAGTAAGAGAAAATAATTTTCTTTTTTTGGGAAGCTTAGCAAGATGCGGAGCAATTGCACCAAACATAGAGACTCTTATTAGACCCAAAGAAACTTTTTAATCCACAACATGGCCGAGATACCAAACCTGGTCCATTTCTATTTTACACTTAAGTAAATATTACTTTCGTTAAAGGTTATGTGCAACGATTAGACATTTTCCCTCTTCTTTATGTCAAATCGTTGCACATAACCTGTAACGGTGGTAGTAATACCTACCTGAATTTTGTTTTTAGCTATGTTCCTTTTGGAGTGTATATTTGTGAAAATGTGAGACTTCTTTTGGATAGTATTGGGCCTATTAGCAAGTTTATATATAGGTTAGTCCGTTAGTAAGGCCTATGAAGTAAGAATTAATGTTATGAAGTCTTGTGATGTCATCACATGCATGTTTAAAAACTTTCAATTGTACTCGATCCATTTTTGTACACTTACCAAATGCAACCATTTTTTTTAAGTTACGCTTTTATTTTTAACAAACAACTACATAAAAATCGTTATGTTAATTCCCTACTTCTATGGACATGACAAGGAAGTCAATTTTTTTTTCCTTGGTTAATAGTTAGCACAAAACACTTAATTAACTCAATTAAGTTAACATTGGTATACCGCTAATTGAATTAGCGGATTCTTTTTAACTAAACCCAGACAAATTGAAAGTGGAGATAGTAAGAGGTTGAATTAGAGTGCAACTCCAATTAATTAAAGATTTTCTCGGCGAGTTTTGACAATTGTAATCATGGTTGCTCGGAGACTTGGAGTTGGTGTTGGTAATTGTGGGCCTCGGGGATTGCAAAGGTACAGGGAAATAGGAGAATTGAGGGTCTTTTAACTATTCCTTTTGTTGGGCCCGGATCACCCACCTTGACGGGTCGCACGCACACTCCAATTCACATTAGTATGATATTGTTCGCTTTGGGCCTAGCCCGCACGGATTTGTTTTTGGGCACCTTCCCAAAAGGCCTCATACTATTTGGAGTGTGCTTTAACTTAGGAGCTTCTCACTTCCTTAAATCTTTCCATGTGGGACTTGGGATGAACACCCCAACACCTTTAATTTCTCTATGGTTATGCATCTCTGGTTCTTGCTACAAGACTGACAGACTGTAGTGTTTGCTTTATATATATATATATTTTTTTTTTAACTACCAATAAGAAGCGGTTCTTCTTCTTTTGCTTAATCTCTGTAATCCCATAATTGGGGTCGGCTTGTGCGTGATAAAAAAAAGTTACTCGTATTTAAAAAGCAATTGTTGACATGGACAGTATAGTGGGGAACTTTGTAAAGGGTATAGTTGGGGAATTTTGATAATTTTTTTAGCATTTTTAGCGGAAATCCCTCGCTAAGACAATATAGTATAAACGTAGTGAGTAAAATATAATCAGCATTTCTGCATAACATTACATTTCTTAAACCTGATAGATGTTACAAAATCTCGCTATGAGTAATTTTATTCTCTTCCCACACGCCATTCTCATCGCATGGGAAGAAGATGAGATTGGGGCATTCCAAAACTACCAGACGGGTTAGTTTTAGGGAAAATGTCGATAAATTCATCCCAATTGATGCGTAGCTCAGGCAAGTACCGGAGACGTACTGTGTGTACATGTTGAAAACAATGCATCTCCATGCCTAGATCCCAAAACCGGCCTCCTCTAATATAGAGTTTCTCCAAAGAGCTCTTTGTATCTTCACTTATCAGCCTTAGCAGTCGGGACATTGTGTCCTCTGGGGCAGCCTGGAGCTCCAGTTTCTTAAGGCTTGGAGGAAATGTTGCTGAAGCACTGTCACTTGGACCATCAGCAGAACTCCACACCCAAGCAACTCGGAGATTTTCGAGCAACTCCATCGAACTTAATGTTACAAAATCATCGGTGGTTGGAAAGTTGATTCTTCTAGTCCGGATGGTTAATTTGACCAGCTTCTTGAGTTTCAATAAATCACTAAATAATGCTGTTGGAGATGCATTTTTTCCTTTAGCTTTTCCATTATTTCCCCTTCCTTGAGTATCTTCGGGATTAATTACAAATCCCTTGAGCACTCTAAGCTCGGTTAGGGAAGTGATTCCCTTGGGGATGTAGGCAAGTAGGTAGCACTCCGACAAGTCCAAGTGTGTAAGTTGTTTCAACGAATCGATCCCTTCTGAAAGAGACTCCAAGTTAGGACATGCTCTTAGATCCAAGACCTTTAGATACTCAAGCTTGTAAACTGAGTCTGGCAATTTTACAATTCCTGATATCCCTTCAAGGCTTAAATAAGTCACTTGCCCCATTTGCTTTATCAAAGCCTTCAAGGCTTCAATATCTTCAACCATAATATACCTCTTGTGGTTATGGTCCCAGCTACCAAGGTGTAGCACTTTAACAGTGCTCTTCTTATCAGAGAGCCGTTTGAACGTCGTACCACCCAGAAAGTTCTCTCTGATGTTGAGCACCAAGGTCCCTGTCACATCTTTGTCATCTTGACCCTTCTGATTGAATGTAGAGATGCGATTTAGGAACGATTTTTGTTGAACTACAGCCGGAACAGGATTGTTACTAGCTGGTTGTGAGTTTTGTGACTGTTGATGCTGTTGCTGTTGCTGCTGCTGTTGTGGCTGATGATCCATTATCAACCAAGGACCCTCTTCTTTTATGTTCACCTTTGGAGCAACCATGTAGCGGACATTTCCATTCATCTTGTACCTGTTGCACAACATTTTGTTGCCAATAGTGCGCTCAATGAATCCGTTGGCCACAAGCTTAGCCAACTTTTGCGCACCCTCGGATTGATTTTGAACTAAATTCATGCCAATCCACAAATGGATCGGCTCTCTTTTCTTTATCTCTTTACCAGCAGAGAACAAATAGAAGCATATCAAACAACTCTTCTCTGTATCACCGAGGCTTGCAAACCCATCTTCTAGCTGATCATTTGAAGTACTAGAAGCTTCAAGCTGAGTAGAACTACGGGCGAGTGACGCACTGTGATGTGGCTGCACACCAGGTTGTGGAGAGGCTCCAACAGCTAATGATTGCTTCTTGTCATTAACAATCTTTGCAAGTTCCTCGTATTTTGAGGCATTATTAGTGTCATGCTTGATGAAATTATGAAGAATGGTTTGGATTTTTTGATAGAGTTTAGGAATGATAGTTTCAGGGAAAGAGGAAGGAAGTTGGTGACTCTCAATTTTTTCGAGTGCTTGATGAACCACCTTTTGGACATCTTCATGAATGATTTTTAGCCTCTCTTGCCTGGTGATGGTAGAACTATTATCTTCTATCTTGGTTTGGTTTTTGGCCTTCTTAAGTTGGCTCGAAAGAGTTTTACCATTTTCAACGAGGGATAATATCAGAGGATTCATGGAGGAAGAAACTGTTACTACAGCGTTGGACATTGATCTAATTATTGTGGTTATAGACAGAGCAAAGCAATAGAAGTAGTGAAATTGAATTTTGTGGGTGTTGCATCAAACTTTATAATTATAACTCTGATTATAATTATTTCTGGTTCTAAGATCTGTACAAATAGTCAAATTAAACAGAAGACAGTTCATGCTTGATAATTAAGCATCAGCTGGGAAATAAACGTCATACATTGGTTGATTATTTAGTCAATCAATAATTAGTCAACGGCTACAGTACAAGTCCTTATTAACTAGTACTCCCTCCGTCCCCAAAAGAATGACCTATTTGGCCTAATTTTAGTCCAAGAATGACCCATTAGCATTAAAATACCCACCGATTTGCAACAATATTTGTACAAAATTAGCTTTCCCATATAAAATTTTGTTTTTCCATATACTTTTATTATTATCTCTCTTTACTTTTTTGTAAACTCCATGTAAATTTATTTTTCCAATATACTTTTACTTCTTTTTATTTAACTTTATTAATACCCGCGAAATCAACCCAAAAGGGTCGTTCTTTCAGGGACGGAGGGAGTACAATATTCCATACAAAGTCTATAATATTTTAAGTCTTGATCGAGAAACTAGTGCAACAATGTGCAGGTAATTAATTGATACTGTAAACCAGAATCAAGCAAGAATGCTACCAGAATCAAGCAAGAATCATGCAATGTGCAAGTAGATGCCTCGTAGAAATTTCCCAACAATAAGTTTATTATACTACTAGGTCGGTTTATTATTGTTATGTGTAACTTTTATATTATTTATGAGATAAAAAATTCAAAAGTTTCAAATAATTATTATTATTGGAGATAGGTTTAGAGGTGAAAAAACTACCTTCACATATAAGGATCTACATACCATTAGTGAATTGTCTCACACCAGAAAAGAGGTGAAAAAATCACCTTCATATATTAGGATCTACATACCACATTACTGATTGACACAATTTTAACCTTTAAATAGCTACAAATTAAAAGATATGATTTATTTAATTAAAAAAAATAGGTAGGGAGATTAGATTATTTAACTAAGTTCATTATCTTATGTTACATAATATTATCTCGAGATCCATGATTTTCATTGTATATATAAATTATGCATTAATTAACTACTGCATATTAGGATGGGACAAATATCAAGCTGGCATGTATTAAAATTTTCAGTTTATTAAAATCCAACAAAATCGTTAAGTCAACTTAAAATCTTTATTTCATTTATTTATTTTATACTCCGTATTATTTTGATATAGAATGACCAAAACTACCAATCATATATGCAAAATAATTCTGTCACAGTAGTGTAAGCAAAATTATATTTCTTGAATCATGAGCCCATTGTTAAAATTATGCACCTAATTACCCTTTTCTTTTTTTTTTTCTTTTTTAATAGAATTTGGACTAACCAACAAATAATTCCTAGCTTAGTTTACCAATTGAGATAATCAAATGGTTAACCAAAGTATAGAGAAAGTGAAACATTTGTTCGAAATTTGGGATGTTCGTGTTTTCATATTAGTCAGTCTGTTTATCCAAGCATTTCTCACTTTGCTTGCTCCCTTAAGAAAATCTAGTGCAAATAGCTATCTGAGGTTCTTTATTTGGCTGCTCTATTTGTCAGCTGACGCGATTGGAGTGTTTGTCATTGGGTTGATCTCTAGCAACGATGGAGCTTCACCTGAGACGGTTAAGCTATTCGCATTTTGGCCACCATTTCTTCTTTTGCATCTTGGTGGTCCTGATACAATAACTGCTCTAGCTTTGGAGGACAACGAGCTGTGGAATCGACACGCTCTTCAGCTGGCTACTCAGGTATCTATCACTGCCTATGTCTTTTTCCAATCATTTTGAGATAAAAATTTGTGGTTGCCTACGGTATTTATGTTTGTCGAGGGAATAATTAAGTACTTCGAGCGAACATGTGCTTTGTTTTTCGCTAGCAGTGACAGTTTTAGAGACTCCCTAGTGGCTGAACCCGAACCTGGGCCTAACTATGCCAGGTTAATGGAAGAGTACAATTCTGCCAAGGATGCTTATATTCCAACTGTTTTTGAAGGGAAAAATGGGCGGATAGAAGGTAGTACAAAGTCGGAGGGACAAGATACATATGATGATCAGCAGCCGTCAATGATAGATGATGTTACCAATGATACCAACGACACGAATGCCAGTGGTACTTCTTTAGATAAAGAGCTGAATCAGGATGAGAAGCAAGTTGTACATGCTCATCGATACTATGAGCTGTTTAAAGCACTCCTAGCAGACGGTTTTTTGAGCTTAAAAGATCGTAAATTAAGTCGAGACTTTTTTGCCAATATGCCGATTAAGGATGCCTTTAGGATCATCGAGATTGAGCTGAACTTAATCTATGATGTTTTCTACACAAAGTTATTTTTGTTGCAAAGGAAACGAGCTTTTGGTCGAGTATTCTGTTTCTTTTTTGTTATAGCATCTCTGTTGCTCTTCTCTATCAATGACAGAAGCAAATACAATAATATTGATGTTATAATTACCTTTGTGTTGCTTGGAGGGGCTATAGCATTGGACATATGTGCTGCTCTTATGTTTGTAATGTCAGATTGGTGGATAATTATCATATCGTTTGATAGCAAGCTCAAAGGCTACTACCAACCACTTATGCTGATGTTTCTTAGGTGGTCAAGGTTGGCAAGGCAACCTCATCGTAGAAGATGGTCTAAATGCATCTCAGAGTATAATTTGTTAAAGCGATGCTTCAAGCCGCTCCCTTCATTCATCGGCTTCCAGTACATTTCAAGAATAAAGCGTATTAGGGATATTTTACTTGGAATTCTATATGTCCAAGAACATGAGGCTGAAGAGGACCTTATCGAGTTTGTCATAAAAGAGATAAAGGACAAAGCTGATCTAGCCACTGAGATAGGGGTAGCTAAAGAAGTCTGCTCTGCTAGAGGTAGTTTTATAATGCAAGATGAGTATTACCTTGCTTCCGAGTGCTTAAGCCCTTGGACAGTAGATGTTGATTATGATGAAAGTCTTTTGATTTGGCACCTTGCTACTGATATCTGCTACTGGAAAACAACTGATGCTGCAACGTCAAAATATCGTAGTTTCAGCAAGGCACTCTCAGATTATATGTCATACCTTCTGCTCAGACAGCAGACGCTAGTATCCTCTGCGGTGGGTATGTCAGATACTCGATTCGAAGACACTCGTGCAGATGCTCAGAAGTTTATGAATTATGAGAGCATCAACGTCAACTGGCCTGCAGATTTCTGGTGGAAGACTAAGAGGTTCTTCAAGAACTGGTGTTGTTTAGCCATGAAAGAGCCAATTCCTTCTGAAAGAAAGGAAAATCCTTTCTTTGAGAAGTTTAGTAATATGATGTTTAAAGTCAAAGCTGATGTACAGCCTATTGTAGCCAAGGGTGATAAGAGCAAATCTGTGCTTTTCGATGCATGTCGTCTTGCTAAGCAACTGGAAATGTTTGGAGAAAAGAAATGGGAGATAACCAGCAAAGTTTGGGTGGAGCTGCTCTGTTATGCTGCGGTCCGCTGCTCTCCGAGGTCTCATATTGCACAATTAAGGAGAGGCGGGGAGCTTATTACACTAGTGTGGCTGTTTATGGCTCACCTTGGCTTAGGGGAACGTTTCCTACAAAACCAAGGCTTTGGGTGGACTAAGCTAATAATTCAGAAATAACAGCATAGTATATGTGTTCACTCACAAAGATATTGTACTCTGTATTAGATTATTTATCCTATTTTATATGTAGTGGGTGTTTTTTTGGTTTTAATATGCATCACTTTTTTTTAAAAAAAGTTTTAAACTCTTATATATTCAATGCCATCGGGGCGTTCTTAAACAAGATCCTTTATTTAATGACTTTAGGGGGTGTTTGTTTGGAGGGATAATTAAGGAGGTAGGGATAAGGATAAAAAGGAAGGGACTAAGAAATGTGTTGTTTGTTTGAAATGATAGGGAAAAATATGAGGGATAGGGATAAAATGACCTTTTATCCCTTGAAAATAATACCTAGGGGGGTTAGGTATAAGATGGAGGGATAAGATTATTTAAGAAAATGACTACTTTGCCATTAATGAATTGCAAGGAAGTAACAAGGTATATAAAAATAATAAGGGTATATTAGTAATTTCATTACAAATGTCAATCTTATTCCCAACCCTTACCAAACAAAGGACAGACATATATGTATCCTTATCCTTGTCCTACTATCTTATCCTCCTTATCCCTATCCCTATAGCTAGTGCTGTCAAATTTCAAACCGAAACCGTTTAACTGCCCGAAACCGACAGACCCAAATGAGAACCGAACCGATTAAAAACCGATTTTTTTGAAATCGAAAACCGACCCAAATCGTATTTTAGTAAACCCGAAACCGAATCGACCCGAATAATGTTAAACCGTATAAGAACCGAACCCGTTAACAAACCGAACCGAATATAAACCGAACTGAAAGAAAACCGAACCGAAAAAGAACCGAACCTTATCTAACCCGAAACCGGTTCCAACCCGAAACCGTTTAAACTGGCAAAAAAACCGCTTACACCGAACCGTTAGCAAACTGCTACCCGTTTGCACCGAACCATTTAAAAACCGAACTGATTGTAAACCAAACTCGTTATAAACCGAACTGTTTATGGACCAAACCGCTTCTAAATCGAACCGTTTACAAACTTTTTTATATAATTAAATGGATTTTTTTTTTGACGGGGATATAATTAAATGGATTAAATATTAGAAATCTTAGAATATTTTTTATAAAATAGCAAGGCAAATCATTCATTAAGGTCTTAAGGATAATCAGTGTTCACAAACAAGAGCAAAACAAGCAGGCTCAGGCCCTGCCTCAAACTATTAGCAACACTACTGCCTCTAGTCATGTATACATTTGAGGTGAAGAAACCAAATGAACAAAAAGCTTGTAATATTAACTACCAAGGCTTGGCTCAAGGTGTAATAAATAAAATTAATTCACAGAGACTATTAAGCATATGATTACATTGATTTTGTGAGTAATAATGAAATAAAGATGGGAGTGTTCTAGTGACATGAATATACTATTAGGCTATGTTTTAATTCAGATTCAACTATAATTTAGTAAACTTGAAATGGAACCGATATGAATAACGTTAAAGTGGTTAAACAATCGAAGAACCGAACCAGTTATAAACTGAACCGAAAAAGAACCGAACCAGTTATTAAAAACTGAACCGAAAAAGAACCGAACCAGTTATAAACTGAACCAAAAAAGAACCGAACTGTTTCTAACCCGAAACCGTTTCCAACCCGAAACTGTTTGAACCGGGATAAAAACCGTTTACACCGCACCGTTAACAAACCGCAACCCGTCTGCACCGAACCGTTTACTACCCGAACTATTTACAACCCGAACCGAATTAAAACTGCTTAAGAATAAACCGGAACCGAATCGAACCGATAACTATTTAAACCGAACAAAAACCGACCCATGAGACATCCAAACCGACCCGATTAAATACCGAACCGATTTCAAACCGAAACGAAACCGAACTGTCAAACTGTTTTGACAGTGCTACCTATAGCCAAACAACCCGTTATAGTTCATAACACTATCGTATTAGTTACAATATTTTTCATTTTTAGTCGTTTCATATTGGTTGTAAAACTACTATATTTGGAAAAGACTCACCATTATTTTATAATTTTTCTCTTTCACTAACCCCACTTTCACAAATATTTTAGAAAAAATTGATTTTAATAATTTCACCTTTAATTTGATCGGTTCGCTATTAATAATACCACCTTTGGATTATTATTTAATACTCCAACCTTTATAGTGGATCTTCTTCTATTGATCCCTAACCTGTTGGTAACTAGTTTTGATAAGTTAAGATGACACATGTAATTTTATAATTGGTTGAAAAAAAAAATTAAAACTTTTAACCCCCCCCTACCACCACCCTCACCCATCATGAAACCCTTAGCCTCAACCTAGCCCCACCAATAACTGATCGGTCGCCACCCTAATCTCCCTAAAACAGCCGGCTAAAACCCCCCGTAACAAAAAAGCACCTCGCCGACCAAAAGCCATCCCCTAAATCACCCCCTGACCCATATATCCCAACCTCGAAACCACCATACGACCACCTTGAAAACCCCGAAAACCGCCAAAAAAAACCCATATCACCGCTGAAAACCGCCGAAAAGTTCTTCTAATTGCTGAAAAGCCTCGTAAATCCTACCCAATTCAATATCAAGCCATCTCTTTTGCTCTTGAAGATTTTTCTCTTTTTACTTTTTTTTTCTAATTCATTGAAATCAAGGGCTAGTTTTTGCCACGTAAGGGTGGAAATAGGGGTTCCTGCGGTGGAATTTGGGGTTCCGGCGATGGGGATGGGGGAAGGGTTATTGGAGGTTGGGGAGGGTGGTTGTTGGGGTTTGGTGTTTTTACAAAAAAATCATTTTGACCAGATTTTTTTTTACCAATTATTTAATGACATGTGTCACTCAAATTAAAAAAAAAAAATAATGTACAGGTTACCGATCATAAGGGACCAATAAAAAAAATCCATATAAAAGAGTGATTATTAAATAATAATATAAAGGTGGGATTATTAACAGTAAACCGGCCAAAGGTGGGATTAGTAAAATCAATTTTTCCAATATTTTATTATTTCTCTTTCCTACCAACCCCACCCACACTATTTTTTTTATTATTATTATTTCTCTTTTTTAATTACAATACTATATACTCCGTATTATTGCTTTAGTCTATAATTTTCTTAAACTATGAGTCAAACTTGTAACTTATGTAAAACAGAGCGATTATATATGATTATTTCTCTTTTTTACTTAAAATTTTATCCAATTTAATTTTTTTTTTTTTGAAAAATGACAAAGAAAAATCCAACCTTTGAGCGGTCTTTTCATAAAAATTCAACCTTTATACCCCACCTTCTTTGATAAGTCCATTTGACCTTTAAGACCATTCTCAGCAGTGAGGAAAAAAAAAACCTCTCAATCTCTCTCTACCCACTTTCTCACTCCTCCCATACAATTTCTCTCATCAAATGTTTTTTTCACCACAACAATGAGGAGAAAAAAAACCTCTCATCACTTTCTCCTCCACTATTTTTTAATTTATTTTTTAATTACGTTTAAAAATAATTTAATAAAAATTTATAATTACGTTTAAAAATATTAATAATACTAACTGGAAATTTTTTTTATAAGAAATAATTATAATAATAATAATAACAAGAAGAAATTGGGAAAATATGTTAATTTCTCTAATTTATGGGTTTTTTTGAAAGTATATCAAAATGCATGTCTATTTATAGAGAAAAAAATTTTATGGTCGTTGGTGAATTTTTTTTTTTTTTTTAAAAATAATTACAACGGTTATATTTCAAATACAAAATATAACCGTTGTAAAAAAACAACAAAAGCAGTGGGGGCCACATGTTACTGTTCATCACCAAAAGCCCTCAACTCTTGAGGGTTTTTATTTTCACTCATCGGTGAGTGTTTTTTCACTCACTGATGTAGTGTTCGGATTTTTTTTTTTACACCCTTATTTTTACTCGTGAGGGCTTTTCTCCTCACTGCTGGGAGTGCTCTAAGCTGTTAAACAGGTTAAATTTTTTTGTTTTGTTATTTTTTTTTAAAAATTCTCACTTTCCTTCTCACTCCTCTTCTTTCTCTCTCCTCTCTACACCACCACCATCTCTGCCACACTGCCACCACTTACCCCACCCTACCCAAACCTAAAACCTGTCAATTACTATGAAATTTGGGGTAGCCCACGCAGCCTCCTCTTACCTCCTAATCCCTCTTCTATGCCCACCATAACCACCACCCCAGCATCTCCCTCACCCAACCCCGACAACCACATCTAAAGGGTTTTGATATTGGGGCCGAAAATATGCAATTGAGATTTCTCTGTTCGAATTGGTGGTGCGACAGTGGAGCAGCACCGCCGAATTAGGTGGTTTGAATGTTGATGGATGCTTGCAGTCAATTGGGGCTGTTGTGGTGGCTTAATATTTGCAGGTTGTTGCTGGTGACTGGACACGATTGTGATGGAGTGTGCAAGAGAGGAGTTGCGACAGTGGAGTTGTTTGGTACGGGTTGAGTGAGGAGGTGGCTGCAACGACGACTAATTTGGGTGGAGATGGAGCAGGGACTAGCAATTGTCGGCGGCAGTATAATTGGTGGTTGGTTTGGGATTTCGAGCTGCTACTATTGGTTGGCCGTGATTATGGTTGGGCGGTTTGGAGTTGGTGGTTGCTGGTGTCTCTGGGTTACGTTGGGCGGTGGGCGGTAGGGATGGGGTGGTCAGGGAAGGAGGTGGGGTTGGCTTTTCTGGTTTTTTTTTTTTGTTTAAATTTTTTTTGTTTTTAAATGATTAAAAAAATAATTGATCAATTAATGACTAACACGTGGCACATAACTTTCAAAAATCAGTCAACAACAGATAATGGATTTGTTGGAGAAAGTGGGGTATAAAGGTTGAATTTTTATGAGATTAATGAAAGGTTGAATTTTTATAAGAAGATCGCTAAAAGGTTAGATTTTTCTATTGCATTTTTTTTAACATTTCTCTCTCATGATTTTCATTAAAATGATTAATACTTCCATAAGTTCCATAGCGGACTCCCCCAAAAAAAACAATTGGTCTTGTATGAACCCAGTCTTTAATAAATTATTGTAGACCCAAATTTTGATACTTTTAATTAATATAATCATATTCTAGATAATATAATCACTTTTTTAGATGATATAATTATTTTTTGTGAGTCATATTTTGAATTATATAATCTCATATTAAACCATGTCCTAATTATCTTTAGAATGATAAAATTTAAAAATCATGTTTTGAATAATGTAATTTACTATTTAATACTTTTTATAATGATAAATTCACTTTTTGAGTTATACATTTACATAACAGTTTCAAAATGATATAATCACTTTTGTAGTAATATAATCGCATCTCGTATGATATAATTACATTCGTATGGTATACAAGAAGGTTGGGCTACAATAAATTATTCTAGTCTATTCTAGTCTTTATACCAAAAAAAAATACTGCGTATCTACCAGTAGACTTTTAAAGTTTTAATTAAAATATTATCACAAAATAAGTGGAAAATTCTTGAGTGAGCCATAGTCACACACGTCATTCATCTTTCCTTTCCTTTTTTTAAAATAAATAAATAAATTATAAAGTAATATTAAGAGCCCAATAATACTAAATTACTCGGTAGTCAATTGCAAAACTTGAATAAAGAAACTCAAGGAGGGGTGTGAGAAACAAGGTATGAGAGAGAAAATAAGAGTTGTAGCTAGAAAACAGGGTGTATTAGAAAAACAGAGTAAAATTGGAGTACTTCATGGAAGATGTAAGATTTAAGGCTACCTTGTTATATTTGGTGGAGCTCACGGCTAAGTTATTGATTTATTTATTTATTACTATTTTAGAATGACAGATTTACAGTAAAGTGGGATGGTGTCAACTGTCAAGTTAACGGTGGTGTAATTTTGTTGGTCGGCGGCAGAAGGATGGGGCAGATGACGGTGGAAGGTCATCATCAATGGATAAGGGAGATAATGCTCAACCCAATAAGTAACAACACTCAAAATGTTTAATTATATTCCATATGCAATAGCTTGAGTTCTGGCTTATTTATATTTCGTTTTTAAATACTTGTTTCATTTCTTTATTTAAAAAACTTTTACAATATTTTATTACTTTCTCTCATCTTATGAACCCACCATTAATTATATTTTATTAATTTCATGCTCTCTCTCCTCTAATTATCTCCACTACTTTTGTTTTTTACCCTCTATGTTTTTAATTGTTTGCTCCACTTTCCTTTTTAAGTTGTCCCTAAAAGATTGCCTCATATTACTTTTGACATGTTTTTCCACTTGCACTCTCTCCTCGTTGATATTTGTGTCAACCCATGTGCACCGAATTTTGCCCAAAACCTTAATAAAGTAGATTTATAGTTGGGGCAAACAATTAGAGACAGAGGGAGTACCATTTTTTATTCTTCCACTTACCCCACTACCTCTCTATTAGGGCAAGTATTTAAAAACGGAAGGAATATAACAAGTATTTAAAGGCTTGTTTGCCATGTTTTATATTATTAGTTTTATAAAAATAGAAAATAAGAAAAAAGTGTTTCTACTTTCACGTTGTCAGTTTTTTAATACTAGTAGGCTAAGCTATCGATTGCTTAGTATATATTCCTGTAATTGCTGCTTTCACTGGGCAACACATAGGAAGATATATGTACTAGGAACAACATCTATGATCAATTTTATCCTTGCTTTCGCTGTTTTTGTCAGTAATCTGTCTTAGTATGTTGCTAAGCTTCTTATACTAGGAGAGTCTACGCCCGCGTTGCACGCGACATAATCAATGTTTATGGTCGAGTTGTAATAGCTCGTCATGACATCCAAAACTTATTGGGTAGACTTTTGAACGCATATACTAATAAATAAATTGTTGATAATCATACCCTTGCATAGGTACAAAAATGTAACACTTGAAAATATATAAACACTATTTACTTTTTAGTTGTAAGTTTCTTATGGTGTAATATGACTTTTGTTGTGAGTTATAAAATACAATTATATATCATCCGTCACTTTTACTTGCAACACTTGAAAATATATACATTTTTCATTTATTTTAATAATTGATCTTTATTTTATTGACTTTTTTTGTTGGCAAAATAGCCATGTGGGATCTTATTAGATTCATTTCGATTTATATATATGTTTTAAATACTTAATCTTTAGATTATTTATATGTCTATAATTAGAGATACAAGAGATTGAAATTATGTATTAACAAGCGTGAAAGTTAAATTGTTACAACTAAAAATTTAACGGAAAAACTTTAAAAAAAAATTCTAATTAAATGATAATTAAATTCAGTGGGTTTGTGTGTGTGTGTGTGTGTTTGTTTGTTTGTTTTAAAGAAAATAATAACAAAGTGGGTTATATCCAAACTATTACCCCACCCTATAAAGAGGATTATTTTCATGTTAAATAGTTTTGCCATTAAATTCAACAGTTTTCTCCTCCTCCTTCTCCTTTTCCTCTTCTTCTTCTTCATGTGGCTTAGCTCGGTAGGTGCTTTAATGGAGGAGAGAAAGAGAGTAGGGAAGTAAAGGAGGAAGGAGAGAGAAATGGGGGGTTTAAAAAGAGGAAAAGGTTGGAAGTTGGAAGGAAAGGAAGACTAGAAAAATAAATACGGAAGCATAAGAGTTAATATGACATAAAAGGGTGTATGGGTAAATAAACATTTTTAGGGGTAAAAAAGTCATCACACTATTCATAAGAGTTCTTTTGTACTTTTTATAAGGTAGGGATTATTATGATTTTAATAAAATAGATTATTATTATTTTCTTATGATATCATATGATTTTGAAAACAATGATGCAGCGGCAAAACCCTAAGTTAATGCAAGAAGCTAATTAATGCTTGGAGTAAATGATACGAAGTATTGTTGAATTTTGATATTGTCGACATGAGGCAATTAGAGATAGTCAAACCGGAGGGGCTTCTAGAGCTATTCAATTCAAACCTTGTCTTTTGTATTGTACTAAACTCATCATTGGGGTGAGCAAAAATTCTTAATACCCTGACTTACGGAACATGCTGAATTAAAGGTTCCAGATTAGGAATTGGAAACGTGTTGCAACAGGTTCCGATTCCGGTTCTAGATTATAAAATTTTGGACATGGAGCATGTAGAATACCCTGATAGTATAGGTTCCGTATAGGGTACAAGAAATCAGAATCTATCATTTAAGCCCAAGTATAAAAGCCCTGAATCAAAATTGTTTAAAAGCCATCACCTACTTATTCATTTTTGTACAAGTATTTGTACAAAAATACTTACTCTTAAAGGTTTAATTACTGATACAGTATTAATATAAATATTTGTAATTTTGTATTAAATATTCTACACAATCAAGTAAGTACTAACTATTAAGCTTACTTTGAAAGACAGGTACCTCGTTTCGGAACCGGAACCTGCCGGTTCCCAGTTTTTAGGAATCTGTTGAATATATTCCGGTTCCTATTTTTAGGAACTTGTTGTGGTTCCGATTTTGGGTCCTGAGATTTTTACCGGATACTCTGCGACACCTGTACTCATCATATAGTGGGGACAAATTAGCAAATTAGCATTAATTAAACTGAATATTTTATACTGCCATTTTTGCCTAGAAAGCTTCATCTTTAGCGTTAGTATAATGTATGTACTCCGCAATATTTACTGATTGAGTTTCCCATGATAGTCTAGGTGAACTTTGATAGGATTGACAGTTTTTTGTAGGTTGATTTTCAAGTTATGACATATTAAAAAGGTGTTATTAGTAAACTAAACTCCTCCACCCAGTTGAATGTATGAAATTGTAGTTTATTGCCTCGTTGGTTTAGTTTAATCATCACCAATACGTTGAAGTGCTTACAAAATTACTGATTAGATAAATTGAGAGTCTTCCCGGAAAAAGAAAAAGAAAAAAAAATTAAAAAAATCCTGATATTTTCTCAATCCAATTCATACAGATTATAAGTTTAAACACTGAAAGAGGCAAGCAGGGGAGAAAGATATGGCAGAAGCCATTGTATCTGATGTAGTCGCGAAGCTTCTTGAATCTCTGGGACAATCAGTAGTTGAGGAAATGGCTCCTTACTTCAATGGGAGAAAGAAACTGAAAGAGCTAGAGCAATTGATGGGGATGATACAAGCTCGACTTCTTGATGCAGAGAGGATAAGGGAAGGTGACAATGGGGCTTTGATCAACCTTTGGCTGAAAAGGCTCAAGCATGTACTTTACCGACTGGAAGACTTGTTCGAAGAAGTCGTTATGATTGATCAAGATGAACTTCCTAGAGGTAAGCTTACCAAACCACTAGGTGTTTGTTATTCATGCTTAAGTCCCTTTAAAGTAAATAAAAAGTTAGCTTTAGAGAGCAAGGCTATTATGGAGGAGTTGAAATCCATTACATCTGAAATGCACTGCCTAAACCTGAGAGTGCATTCCATTGAAGTACAGTCTTCTGTTAGTCGAGTGAGTTGGAGGGAAACACATTTGTTTGTGTTGGAGAAAGATGTAATTGGCAGAGATGCAGATAAAAAGGCAATTTTAGAAATGGTTTTACATTGTGATGATATAGTTGGAGAAAGTGTCTTAGTAATAATCCCAATTGTTGGGATTGGTGGGTTAGGAAAAACAACTCTCGCTCAACTTGTTTTTAATGATGATGATGTTCATAAACATTTTGAGCTTAAAGGTTGGGCTTGCATTTCTGAAGTCTCCAATTTGGAAGAATTATTAAGAAAAATTCTGAAGTCTATTGATAAAAGTGATTGCCATCAGCTGAATATGGAACAACTTCAGTCCTGCCTTCGAGAAGCTGTCAATGATAAGAAATTCCTGCTTGTGTTAGATGATGTATGGGATGAGGATCGAGAGAGATGGTTGTGTTTGAGACGTTTGCTATGTGGCTGTAAAAGAGGAAGCAAAATTATAGTAACCTCTAGGTCGAGAGTGGTGGCTGATAATATGGGTACAGTTGAAGCTTATGCTTTGGGGGTCTTGCAAGAAGACATGTCCTGGGCTTTGTTTAAAGGTTTAGCATTCAAGGAGGGACAAGAGCACAATAATGAGCATCTGACCAGAATTGGCAAAGAGATTGTTGGAAAGTGTGGCCATGTTCCACTTGCTATAAGGACAATTGCCAGTCTTCTTTATACTAAAGATACGGAGCAAGAATGGGAGTATTTCAAGGATAGTGAGCTCGGGATGATTGAACAATGTGAAACAAGCATTATGTCATCGTTGAAGCTGAGCTATGATCACTTAGCTCCACACTTAAAGCAGTGCTTTGCCTATTGCTCTCTGTTTACCAAGGACTACGAGTTTGATAAGATGGATTTGATTTATCTGTGGATGGCGCAAGGGTTCCTCAAGACAACGAGGGATCATGTAAGTCCAGAGGATGTTGGTCATGGATATTTCATGGAGCTACTGAGGAGATCTTTTTTTCAAGATGTTAGAAGAAATGAGTATGGTGAGATAATAAGCTGCAAAATGCACGATTTAATGAATGACTTGGCGAAAAATGTGGCAGGATATTGTTGTCTTCTTGTAGATAAGCCTACAATGCAGATCAATGATAAAAATGTCTGGCATGCTAGCTTTACTGCTAACTCAACTTGGAATGCTCCACCATGGTTGATTGCAGCAAAGCAAATTCGCTCTCTTCTTCTGACTACCAATAGCCTTTCATTTGCTGTACCAGATATCAGTAAAACCATTTCAAGTTTAAGGTGCTTACGAGCATTGGATTTACCTCGGATGGATAATGATAGCCTTCCAGATTCTATAAAACAGCTGAAGCACTTGAGATACCTAAAAATTAGTGTCTCATCTTATTCTCTCCCTGAATGCATCACAGGACTGCAGAAATTACAGACTTTGGATCTCCGAGAATGTTGGTGGCTTAGAGAACTTCCAAGGGAATTGCATAAATTGACTAGTCTTAGGCACTTGCTTTGTAGAAGTTCTATTGCATTGACTGATATGCCGCCTGGATTTGAGCGATTAACTTCTCTTCAAACATTGAACTTGTTTGTCGTGGGTGAATGTACAGGGTTAGATGCACTGACTAGTTTCAATGATCTTGCTGGAAAATTGAAAATCTGTTTTTCTGAACGTCGTGGAAAAGCTGTATCAGTAGACACAGGAGCAATTTTGAAGGCCACAAAGCTAACTAGTCTGGAATTAACATGGTGGGCATTGCAGAATGGAGAACCAGCTTGCCATTCTGACAAAGTAGAAGATGAGTTGGCTCTAAACTGCTTACAACCCCCACCATCTCTCAAAAGCTTACAGGTTGAGGGGTGGAGGGGGGCAAGATTTCCGGGGTGGGGAATGGATGTATTTCCTAGTCCGCTCCCTAACCTTGTTTCTATAGAGATTGCACGTTGTGAGAAATGTCAAATTCTCCCACCATTTAATCTGTTACCTCTTCTCAGGTCTCTTGAACTCTGGTACCTAGAAGCTTTAGAGTGCATAAGAATTGGTGGTCTCAGTAGTGTGACTTCTTCTTCATCAACAGCATTCTTCCCATCCTTGGAACGTCTTGTTCTCTTTCAGTTGCCTGTATTCAAGGGATGGTCGGAACAAAATAATATCAATCAACAAGAACCTGAAAGACCTCAGGACTTGTTGCAGCCATCATCTTTCCCTTGTCTTTCTAAACTCTTCATAGGGTATTGCCCGAAGCTGATGTCAATGCCTAAGGCGCCAAGGCTTGAATCGCTGGGTGCCAACAGCATCCATAATAATCTGCTGAAGTATCTTCTATATGGAGATGCAACACAAATATCAGTGCCTTCATCACTCATTCCTTCCATGTTAAAAGACTTGCATATCCGATCAATACATGAACTAGACACTCTCTCAATCAATCTAATAACATTAGAATCCTTATCAATCTACTTTTGCCTCCAGTTAATCAGATTGACTGTGAAAGCTCCAACTTGCCTCCGAAATCTTGAAATTCATAATTGTGTTAGACTTAAAGACATATCCAGTGCACTGCAGCATCTCACTGTCCTTGAGGAATTGAAAATCTCTGACTGTGACCAGTTAGTCTGGGAGCCTATAATGGGTAAAGATAATGTTAGTTTTGTCGATGAGGGGAGGGATGTCAGTAGTATTACTAGTAGTGATGTTAAGTCAGCTGATTGGCAAGGCCTTAAAAGCCTCCGTTTATTAACATTGAAGAGCATCTGCAATTTGGATTCACCCCCACAGAGCCTTGGCTGCTTAAGAGCACTTCAAGAACTGGAGATATATCATTTCAGTAATCTGATTGTTCTACCAGAGTGGATAGGGCACCTCACCCAACTCCGTAGACTTGACATTCAGGATTGCCTTAAATTGGTGACACTTCCTGAATCACTTCGCAACCTCACCAATTTACAGCGTCTTGAGGTCAGGGATTGTGATCCCGAGCTGACAAGAAGATGCAAACAGCCTGATGGTGAATATTGGCCCCTTATTCAACATATCCCCCATATTGAACTTGACTACTAGGTTGGCAAATCACAGTCAAGAAGGTGCCAGGAACCCTATGGTGAAGATTGGCCTCTTATTCAATGCATTCCTTAAGCCATTATTGAAGAATTCAAGAAGGGACTATATATCATAGTCAAACACTCTACATGCTGAATCAGACTCTCTGGAGTAACTCATTCAACAGGTGAATGCTTTTTTCTGTGAGTTCATTTTGCTCCCTCCACCCCTTTCCCTTTATATAGTTCAGGAAGAAAAGGTAAGAGTATTGTTTGTTATTGCTAATTTTAGATCATTTTATGCTCTTTTTTTTTTTGTAGCTAGGAGCGCTCTGATTCTTGAGACTGTTAGAGAAGAAATGTAGCAAAGTATAACCTATAAGTCTTATTTTGTGCCAGGGGAGAACTAGTGCTATGAGCATTGCAAGATAATCAAGTCCATCACACTAAAGGTAATTTGAGCTTGTTCCCAAGTCATGTACTTTTAATTAGTTGATGGACTCAATATCTGCAATTAAATCAAGGCCTGTCATGGCTGTTGCCTGCTGTGATACTCATATCAGGAACTTGTATGTTTTTCAATATGTCTAATACACTCAAAACTTGGATACGGTAAATAAAAAACTTCATGTACAATAAATTTGTAGAGGAAAGCTTTGTCAACTGATTACCACATATCCCATATTTGCTAAATTCTAAATCTTTGTAAGAGGTACCTCAGTTCTAATTTTGGATTCATGTACAGTTACCTACCTCAGTTGATGCATGACTTTGTCAGTACGATAGTGCAGTGATTTCATTCTGCTTTTGGGAATTGTTAGTAAATTCCATGAACTTCCTTTCAGTGCATTACAGATTACAGAACTCATGGAATTGATATCACAGAACTCGCAGTATTGATATCATCTTAATGTGACTCCTGCCCCAAGTACAGTTACCGCATTAACAATCTAAATTATAATTGAATCCCAGCAAATTCTGCTGCTGATTTGCTGCAATATCACACTATCTATTTCAGATAAGAAGATGAGACCCTTTGATTCATTAATTGTTTACACGAATTCTGATTGCTGTCAAGTGTCAAGTCTATGTAATTACTAAGCTGTATGCTTGATGTCTTGATGCAAGGACTACATCACCCTGCATGCTAATTATATTAAATTACTAGCTAAAGGATCCCATATCTTCTTAGTTCTTACAGACTTCTTAGGGCCTTCATAAGGCAAATTTTCTCATTTTTTTTCGAATTTTTTAACAGTAGCTTTTGTATATTGAAAATTTGCAATCTTTAGTATTTCCCCCGTTTTTTATAGTTGTAAAAGTTTGACTTTTACACTATTTATGTATTTCACTTTGACTAGATTTGACGATTTATATATAGGTAAATATATAGTCATGTGGGATCTTGTTATATTCGTCTCGATCTATACAATTTTAATATCTAAAGTTTATAATTTTTATATATTGGTAATTAAAGATATTAACGATTGCAAATATACATCGACAAGCGTGAAAAGTGAAGTGTTGCAACTAAAAAAAAAAAAAAAACAGAGGATGTATAATACAAGATATATTTATTGTGTGACTATCCACTGTAACATCCCTTTTTTGCAAGCCTAGATTTATTAGCTCCTCCCTTATTAAATCTAATCAATGTCTTGAGTCCAAAGTAGTTATTGGCAACTTATTACATACATCAAGCATCACATGTGGACATTTAGTACTTGCTTTTGATTAGCCTGTGCATTATACATATGTCGGATCCGTGCATGATAGGGAGTGTGCACTGGATCGGTCCACTCCTTCACACTTGTACATTAGAGCGCACCCTGCAAGCTTGGAGCATCATTCTCGGTGTCTCCTAGTGTATAGTATAAATTTTGCACTTCTACTTGGTCACACTCCATTAATACTTCACGAGCTTGCTGTAGCACCCCATATATCTTTATTGGTTCGTAGTTGCAGTCAATGACCACTACTTGAAGCGCTTAGTCACCCTTGTGTTGGTTTATTAGCATATCCTTCTACTTTTTATTTAGATCTTCTAGTTGTTCTTGAAATGCCTTTACATCCAACCATAATTTAGAATTACCTAAAATATATACAACAGATGTATTACATTCCAATAAAATGATAAGTACTCCCAAGTTCCAATTCACAAATAACTCTACTTCACAAATGTTCAGTGTTTTGAGACTAAATTTATGGTTTACCCATGATGGTACTTCATTTGTTTCTTTTAAATTTTAATATTTTGATTTTTCTATTTATTGCTAACAAATAATTTTATTTATTAATATCTTTAATTATTAATAAATAAAAATTACTCTGTATAAAGTTTTCATCTTGAAAATATCAATGGAGTTATCTATTTTAAGATTTCACATCAGTCACGTGACTTTTTTTTTTTTTTTTTTTTTTTATTCCTACTATAAATTCACAAATCAACTAATAAACACAACGTTGCAATTGTAGATATAGTGGAAGTATGCAAGCTCTTGCCATATGAATGAGATTTCTACAAAAGGCACTAACTTGACCCCAAAAGCAAAGCCAACTTGCAATATACAAAAGCCTTGAGCCAGATTCTCTCAAAATTAGAACCAGTGATTAGCAAAAGAAAATAAAATTAAACAAGATAAAAAGAAAAGCTAAGAGAATATTTATAAAACAAAGCAGCCTTTTTCAAATCCCTATAAAATTCTCTATAAATAAACTACACTCACTTCCTTTACCTCACACCACTCAACCAAACAAAACACACCAAAACTTCCAAAAAAAATGGGCATCAAAGAATGGAATTCCAAGAAGAGTCAAAGCTTCACATTTGGAAGAAGCATTTCATTTATTAGAAGAGAAAAAATAAGCCAACAACAACAACAATGTATCAAATTAGGCCAAAAATGTGATCAATATGATGATAATAATGATCATGATCAACGGTCCAAATGGAAGGTGTTATGGAACAAGATTAAGAGAGAAAAACAGAGAATTTTACGCGCTAATTACAGCTTTAATCATCATCATAATCATGGTTCAGCAATTGCAGCTTATGACCCTGAAGCATACTCAAGAAACTTTGATGAAGGGTTAGAATGTAAGGAGCCCGAGTACTTGACCCGCTCGTTTTCGGCCCGATTTGCTGATCCATCAAAGATTGTTCATAAACATAGGTTCTAGCTTTATGTATTCCTCTTCTTTTTTACTTTCTCAACTTTGTTTTAAGCTTGATTAGTGGGTGATTAGTGTTAAGTAAAGGGCAATAAAAAGTAATTAGCATAGCTTGGTGTTGTGTATCAAGATACATTGTGTAAAAGTTTTGATCTTGATATAAATTATGCTTCCTTCAATTTTTCCTGGCCAATATATTTGAGGAATACAAATAGGGTCTAATACTTTTGAATAAGTATTATGAAAATCTTGAAATTGAAAGTAACAAATTAGCTCATTCGACATTATTAAGGAGTTGTATGTAACACAAAGACAATCTACAATGTACATCGTGAATGAACTGATTATCAAATTTGTAAATAGTTTGTACTCTTTTTTAAGGTATAAACTTGTAATTTCAAAACATTTGAAATTAGATCACGAATAGAGTATAATGATATTAGCATTTTAGACAATTATCATACGAAGTATTGCTTAAGTTCTAATTAAACTTGCATCATCAATATAGATTTTTTTTTTTTTTTTTTTTGTGTTCTACCCGGTTGGTTCACCCTTTGGGCTAATCCGGATTCGGGGATCAGTTCTGGGTGGTTAGGTTCCAGTCCCTTCCCAATTGTTGTTGCGGGGGATCGAACACGGGTGCTCCCTACCAAGTGTAGTCCCAATCATCATACACCAACAGCCAATTGGTATCATCAATATAGTTAAGCACCCTTATTCTTAGGTAAGTATCAATAATGATCAAGTACATTTGGTGAATAACTTAATTACCAGTGATACGAGGTTTGCCAATTCTATGCAAGTTTATTTATTAATATTGAACGAACAACAGTACAAATGTACAATAAAGATATAATAATAATATCAATAGGATCTAGATCATGAAATATTATACTGTAATATCATTATTTAATTTGTAGTACAAAATTTCTAAATTTATTGATGTGACAAATTCCTTTTGCTGTGCATAAAGTTTGAGCTTGTGATTTAAGTGCTTCGCATGATCCTTTGTGTTATATGAAAGCAAGGTACAAATTTATACGTAAGACAAAAACATAAGTATAAGATTAACTTAATTACATTATTATTGTTTACCCTTTAAAGTATGATGGTTTCTTTATTTCAAATTTAATTAAGTACAAAGATGCTTTTTGAGGATATTAGAGGTCTTCACATGCCATAGCCGCTGCGGTCCTGTGAGTGATCCTAATTAATTAATTTATTTTCATTATTATTATTTTTTAGCTTTTACTTACTATTATAATTTTATAATCCTATAAGATCAGATAATACTGTCTCCGTTCCATAAAGATCTTTCTTATATGACTTAAAAAGTGCATGTGTTTTAATTGGTTGTCCTCTACGGACATGATACGTGTCTAAGGTTGTGCCGCTTTCTAAGGTTTATCGGAATTTGGGCTTTTAAGGCTTTTACGAGTATTTTCATCGGCCAGTCAGCGCGAAACTAATATAATTTGTAATGATTAACAAGATATTGGAGATGGAGTAATGACTAACAAAGCAGCACAGATGATTGTACTTGTGATTTAAGAAGTTAGGTTTCTAGCTAATTTAACCAATATACTAATCTCAGTTTTTATGCTAATTAAGCTAGAGGTAGGTGCACAAATGCACAATCATAGACCACGCTCATTCTCATCTTTTGTTAAAGAACACAAGTTGTTGGTTAATTAAAAGTGGTTGATTAATTAATTCTATGGCCATAATTTCTCTATGATCATGAACCCACGCTTGTTATCATGACAATTCGTACTTGAACTTAATCAATTCCTACCTACAAGCTTACTCAAAAGTTTAATTTTAAACTATTGCACCTTTTAAGTAGATATAAAAGGAAATAAATAAACTTATTTACTTTTTCATTGAGAACGTATATATAATATATAGACTAAAACATACTTTGTATATACTACCTCCGTTAATTGTTATCTGCAACGTTGGGGTATTATTTGAGAGATATAAAATATTCCAAAGTTGCAGATAACAATTAACGGAGGTAGTATTTAAAATGGAAATTTGTGGAAATTTATCAAAAAAAAACTTTTTCAATGGTCGATTTTGTGGAAAAGGTCCTTATATAAAAAAGATGGCAAAAAATGTTCTTATATCTTGTGAATTAATTGAATGAGGATTGATTAAGTTGATGATATCACTACTAATTGGGGAATTTATGAATAATTTTATTTTACTTTATTTATATAAATAAAAGGTAATGGTGTAGATCATGGCATTATTTTATGAGCTCAATTCATTAAAGATCACATTTTGAAATCGATTAAATACTTCTTATTAGATCAATTAAAGGCGATTAAACATAAAATTATTATTATGTTACCTTTTTTTAGCCCCTAAAAGCTTGAAGGAAAAAAAATCATAAAATATTTTTTTTAAAGGGAATTTTTTTTTGATAAAGAAGGGAGTAATGTTTGTTTCCTAAATTTAACGCAATTTACAATCCTCCAAAAATAAAACAATGTCTTAAAGGGAACTCATAGACTTAAACTTTTAAAAAAAAAAAAAAAAAAAAAAAAAAG